ATAAATAAATAAATAAATTTATGATAGTAGTCATTGATACCTGATCCTGAATGGTTGCTTCATTCTCTTATACAGCCTTTTCTGAGAGCGACTCCTTGAAGACTGCCATTTGGGAGCAAAAGCTAGTGGAGGTAAGGTGGGAGCCCTTCTTCCTTGGCCAGGGTTATCTCTGGGTGATTTAAACATGAGTAGCCACAAGAAAAAGGCTTGAATCTTAGGATTTGACCATGAATGAGCAAAGAACCCCAGTTATACTGCTACATTTTTTCAGTGGTCACGTAATATATATATGTCGGTGGAAGTGTTTACATTGTTTTGAACTGCATCAGTACATTTCTTTCAATCGGAACCATTACAGCGAGTTACACTGTTTTTTAATTTTTTAATTAATTATTCCCTGTTGTTTTTTGAGGCAATCAGTACCCCCTTGTCCTTTAAAAAAAAATTATAGAAATGATATATTTATAGAGCAGTACAAGTCTTCTCTCCTCCTCTTCTTTTCCCTTTCCTCCTTTACTTACTCATCCCTTTTCCCTTATTTCCCTGCATATCTCTCACTCTCAGTTCTTCACTTTCTTTTTTCTTCTCCTTTTTGCACAGCAGCCAGAGGAGGAAGCATGTTATAAAATATATATTTTTAAAGGCTCAAGCGTAGTGGCCATGAAATGGACACAATGCCCAAAAACCCAACCCCTTTGCAAAGGGAAGAAATCGACAGCAGCATTCACCCATGCTGAGGTGATAAGGAATGAAGTGATAAATCGGTACAATTTAAAACCAGCATTATGTTGTATTAGCTCTTGCTCTTCTCATGTGATTCTCAAGATTCTTGTTACCTAAAGAGAGGGGGTTTCTTTACCTTTTCTTTAAAAGAAGAGGTTGTCTCCTCCACTCATACCTGAAAGCATTCTGTTTGAACAGCCTGAGCATGGGAAATAGGTTAAAAAGCTGAAATAAAGAAGCTGAATGGATACCATGCACATGAGAAAATTTAAAATAAAATCAAGCCTCAAGTCTTAGTAGAAACAAAAATAATAGGATTTGGGGCACATCGTGAGAAGACCTGATTCAGTAGAAAAGACAGTAATAGTGGGAAACATTGAAGGCAGCCAGAAAGGAAGCAGCATGAATATGAGCTGAATTGACCCACTAAAGGATACCATAGTCTTGATTTTCCAAGATTTGAACAGCGCTGTTAAGCAAGGCTGATACAGGACCTTCTGACAGTTCTTAATCCATAAGGTTGTCATAAATTGGAAGAGGCTTAACTGCAGGTAACAAGTGATGGGTTATCTCCAAGTGCTGAGGAGACAATCCTCATCAGAAGTTCTGGAACTTCCTCAGTGACCTCCATGAATATGAGCACCAAACCGAAGGTCAGAGGACAAACATTTGCAGCGGTATAAATATTATATGTCCACAATGGTTCTTTTTTGCATTCGTCTTTTTATTTTGTCCACAGAAGAAAAGGAGTGCTTTCTTGTCATGTGGACAATGTGGAGCCATTGTCTCAGAATCAGTGTGATACTAGCAGGTGTTGTTGTCGTTTTGAGAATACATGACTCATTTTGACCCTGAGGCACAGTTGCATCACAATGATGCTTCCATGCGCTGACCTACACTTTAAAGCTGGGCCATGCTTTTGAGGCATTCATCCTCTTCTGCTGGATGTCACCTTTTGCCATGGATGTTCCTCAGCCTAAGCCAGCAAGGAAGCTTATCTGTTGTTCTTGTTTCTATATGTTTTCTTGAAGTTTGTGGAACGGCTGTTGATCGATGTCACAGACAAGGCTTGCCTTGAGGAACTCAGGCGGGAGCTGCTGAAAGTGGACCCTGCATACAACAGCCGAAGCCCTGAAAAGGTGAGGGGTGGTCTTGTGCATCCCTTAGGTACAGTTGCAGAGGGTGTTTCATGACGTTTTTTGAATCTGCTATGGTCAGAACTCCTTGTTACATGTTTTGCATGTAGAAAATGCCATTTTGTCCTCTAGAAATTGGCCATTTGGGTGGACAGCATCATATATTAGCTCTAGACCTGTATTTCTATCTAGACTTAGACCTCGTCACGTTCACAGTTCCCCCGTCAAACCTCTCTCTTTACAGCCACTCAGCCACACTGATCTTGCTCATCCTGGGAAGGGAGAGTCCCCGGGGAATCAGATACGATGAAGAAAATTGACTTTTTACTGAAACCATATCCTCTCTGAACACTCAGTCTGTATTCACGAAGGCTTTCATGGCCGGGATCTCATTGTTGTTGTGGGCTTTTTGGGCTCTTTGACCATGTTCTGAAGGTTGTTCTTCCTAACGTTTCGCCAGTCTCTATGGCCGACCTCTTCAGAGGACAGTAATAGCACTCTGTGCTCTGGTGCAGTTTGTTTGGGAGTTGAGTATTTATAGTTGTTGGGTCAGCTTTTGTCCTTTTCAGGAGATGGGTGATTATGGTGATCAGTGTGTTTTTATTGTGGGTGTATTGTTGTGATAAGGAGGAGAGATTATCCGTCACTGTGATTGATGGGTGTCATTAGCTGGTCTTTTGTGTGTAGTGATCACCAGTCCTTGTGGCTGGGTAGAGTTTGTTGACCTTTTGCAGGCTGTATTTTTCAGTGCTGGGAGCCAAGCTTTGTTGAGTTTTAAACTTTCTTCTTTTTTGTTGAAGTCTGCTGGTGTTTGTGCATTTCAGTTGCTTCCCTGTGCAGTCTAACATAATGATTGCTGGAGTTGTCCAGTACTTCCGTATTTTGAAAACTTCGTTAGGAAGGACAACCTTCAGAACACGGCCAAAGAGCCCGAAAAACCCACAACAACCACTCACGTAGTCTCCCAGACTTAGAGATGCTCCAGAGAGTAAAATACAGAAAAGGAATTCCCAGGGCTAGGCACTCAGAACTAGAGCACCAGCCTTGCAAGGGAGCTGCCAACACTCCCCCGCCCAAAGACTGCAAAAAATCCCAGTACAGTAGTTGATTAGGTAAGGACAGGTTTTGTACCATAAACCTTCTAGCCAAAAATCCAGCCATCTGCTTGTAAGAAGTTTTGTAGTTTATTAAAAAGAAAAAAATGGGGGGTGGGTGGGTTTAGAAACAAACCCTAAACCAAACAAATCAAATAACTCAACAGGGTAAAAGTTCCAAACAGGGAATGGTTTTCCAAAATACAGGAGGAAATATGGAGCTAGACATATAAGAATTCAAGAAGAAAACATATCAAAAAAATAATAGAAGCTAATCTACCCTATCTATACGTACTCACATCTGAGTGGAGAAATGGTGCAGTTCTGGGGCATGTATAGCGTGCATCCTCCCAGCATAGCTTCATCGGATGGTACGTTTCTTGAGTCAGGCTGAGCCCCTTCAGGGCATTATTGAGCAGCAGGGGAGCAAATCATTATTCTCCTCTGAGGCATGCTAGGGCAGGCCAGCAAATTAGTTTTCTTAACCCTTTTGGGAGCATTAGACAGGGCCATTGTGCGTCTTAAGTCCCTTTTGTCAGGACAAAAGGCAGATTTCTGGCACAATGATATTCCCCCACTACTTTGGACATGTTTGTAGAATGAAGCATTTTGTAGATTCACCTGATATGTTTTCAAACAAGCTCAACACTTTGGGAAGAAATAGGTTGCCACTCTGACCACTTGAGAGGTAAACCAGCCTCTGGGCAAAGTTGAGGTGGGGGGTGGGGACCACATATTTGACTCTTCACTGAGCCTGCTGCATCGACTTCAGGTATAAAATGCGACACTTGGGTTGAATGATTAGCACTCTAGAGCCCGAAGGACATCACCTTAGAGATCAAGGAGGCCTGTATGGTTGTCTAGGCCAGAGTATTTGCTCTGTCTAGCTCACCAACAGCTTAAGACTAAGGCAGAGAGTCTGCATATTGCAGACAGTGGATTCATAGAGACATCTTTGAAAGATGCTAGCGACCCGATCTGGGAATACTGGAAAGGGAAGCAGTCCCTCTGCAGCAGCTGCGGCTGCTGAGCTATGGCCCCTCATGCTGGAGTCTGCAAACTGGCCCCTCCTGATGATGAAGGGTGGGCCACCACATATTCACCAACCCGTGGCCAAAGAAGATGATGTGCCTCAGACTAGCATGTTAGGTTTTCATCCAGAGTCCCGCCAAACAAAAAGCACCAGGAAGAGAATGAGGGTCGACATGAGACATACCCATGGGTGTGTGTGTGTGTGTCTTAGGTAGCCCTTCTTCTAATTCTTCCACCAGGTCTTCCTCTATCAATATTATGGCGCCATATTGCGTGCCTCAGATGACTCTCAGCTGGTCGAAGAGCACCTCTACACTGTCCTGGCCATGTCTCACAGGGGACCTTTTGAAGCGAAGGTGAGAGTGCTATGGGCACAGCAGTCGTTCTCGTGAGGAAAAAAACAATAATGTTGTTTCATTTGTAAGCAAAGCCACACATTCCTGGCCTCAGCTGGAAACCAAGAAGAGCCGTAAAAGGGCCCCGGGCCTAGCATGGAGGTAGAGAAAGACTTTCTGAGGCAGGATGTAGAACACTGAGGGATGTTTGTGTGCGCATGTGGGGCGAACGGGGCGGGCGGGCGAATGGGCTCTCAAAAGTTTCTGCAGCAGGGAACTCTGTGCTTGCCAATATAAAAGTGTTTAAACAACTGACTAAAAGTTCCATTTTCTGTCCAAGGAAGGGATCAAGGTCACTTTTAAAAAAAACCTAGCATGTGCGCACAGAAATGCATGCTGTTCCAGCTCGCCAATTTGGTCTCATTTCTGTAGCTTATCAGTGGTGGGGAGGTGGTGTGGACCCATTTGTCTTCCCCCTTCTAACTGGACGGCTCTCCCTAGGGCATAGCCTCTGCCGTTGGCTTGGCTGCATCTCGCCACCTCGATGAAGTCTTTCAAGTTCTGGAAATTTACAGCAAGAGTGCTCACAGTGAAGAGACCTATACGTCAAACAGCAGCCAGGTAGGATTCCAGGTTTATTATACGTATAAGATAATATGAATAGTATTTTTTAAAAAACAAAATCATAGAAGTGTGGGGCTGGATGGGACCATAAGCAAGAAATCCAAACTAAAGCATTCCAGGTAGCTGGGCATTCAGTCTTCCATTAAGGAGAATCCAGCACCCTCTGGGCCAGTCCATTCCACCATTAAATAGCATTGGCTGCCAGGCATTTCTTCTTCCTGAGGTTTATTTGGAATCTCTTCCTTGCAATTGTTATCCATTCCTTCTGGTCCTCCCCTCTGGGGGGGGGGCAACAGCAAGTAAGCTCTATCCATCTCCCACCTGGCAGGGCTTCAGATGTTTAAAGACAGCTACCTTTCCTCAGCCTCCTCTTCTCCAGGCTAAACATACTCAGCCATGTCTACTTCATATGGCTTAATTGGTTTCTAGACTTCCCATCATTTATGTCACCCTCATCTGGACATGTTGAGCTTTCCCTACCATTTTTGTCTTGTAGCATGTCCATCTTTGCACAAAATGTTCCTTTAATATCTCAGATTTTCTTGAACAGATCTCTGGTTTTTCCCTTTCTATTATTTTCCTCTATTTCTTTGCACTGTTCATTTAAGAAGGCCCTCTTGTCTCTCCTTGCTATTCTTTGGAAGTCTGCATTCAGTTTTCTGTAACTTTCCCTATCTCCCTTGCATTTTGTTTCCCTTCTCCTCTCTGCTATTTCTAAGGCCTCGTTGGACAGCCACTTTCCTTTCTCGCCTTTCCTTTTCTTTGGGATGGTTTTTGTCGCTGCTTCCTGTACAATGTTACGAGACTCCATTAATATAATTAATATAATTACATGCCATCAAATAAATTCTAACATATGGTGTCTCTTTCCAGGGTTTACTAGGTACAAAATACTTGTAAGTGGTTTAACAGCCCCTTCTTCTTGGGGTGTTCTGAGGCTGTGCAGTTTACTCAAGGCTACACAGGTTGGTTCTTCTCCTAGGAGGCACAGTGGGGGAACTGAACTCTCAACCTCTGGCTCCGCAGCCAGATTCCTTAACCCTTTAATATCTAGGGGACGTTTTGATCTGGTTATAGCAAACCAAGTGAAATGATTGGAACTTGATAGTCACCATTTACATAAGTGTTTTAAATAAACAAACAAACAAACAAACAAACAAACAAACAAACAAACAAACAAACAAATAAATAAATAAATAAATAAATAAATAAATAAATAAATAAATAAATAAATAATCCCTTAAATTTCAGTGGTTAAACTTGGGTTGGAAAGAAGAGTCGCTTTATCCCATTGTAACATGCCTGTGCCGTGCTGGGGTGGGGAGGTACAGTCCTTTTCTTTCTTTTTTACTGTTATTTTATTAGATAAACTGCAACATAAACATTAAATACATAAACCAAAATGCAAATTGACTGTGTTCCCCACCACCCTAGGCAGGATCTCTTGCAGTAATCTTCTTCTTCTTCCTGTATCTTTATTCTTCTTCTTCCTTGATTGTCCTCTTCTCCAGAACTGCATTGATTCTTGATTTGGAACTTTCCCTTTTCCTCTTATTAGCACATATTCAAGAACTCTGCCCCATATATCATAAAAATTTTTATTTTTCAACTCTCCTTTCGTAACCTTTAAATTACAAGTTAACATCGTTGTTTATTATTATTATTATTATTATTATTATTATTATTATTATTATTATTA